TTCCCCCTATGTTTTCTTCTAGGAGTTTTATGGTTTCAGTATTTATGTATTTAATCCATTTTGAGTTAATTTTTGTGAGTGGTGTAAGATAAGGGTCTAGTTTTATTCTTTTGCTTGTGAATGTCCAATTTTCCCAGAACCATTTATTGAAGAGGCTGTCTTTTCTCTATTGAGTATTCTTGGCTCCCTAATCAAATATTAGTTGACTGCATATGCTTGGGTTTATTTCTGGGCTTTTGATTCTGTTCCATTGGTCCATGTGTTTGGTTTTATGCCAGTACCACACTGTTTTGATTACTATAGCCTTGTAATATAGTTTGAAGTCAGAAAGCGTGATGCCTCCAGCTTTGTTCTTCTAAGGATTGCTTTGGCTATTTGGAGTCTTTTGTGGTTTCATACAAATTGTAGGGTTGTTGTTCTATTTCTGTGAAAAATGCCATTGGAATTTTGATAGAGATTGCATTGAATTTATAGATGGTTTGGGGTAGTATGGCAATTTTTCCAATATTAATTTTTCTGACTCATTAACATGGGATATCTTTTGTCTTTAATTTCTTTAATCAAAGTCTTATAGTTTTCAGTGTACAGATCTTTCAACTTCTTGGTTAAATTTATTCCTAAATATTTTGTTGTTTTTGATGCTAATATAAATGGGGTTCTTTTCTTTATTTATTTTTCAGATATTTCATTGTTAGTGTATAGAAACACAGCTGATTTTGTATCCTGCAACTTTACTGATTTCACTGATTAATTCTAACAACATTTTTTGCGGAGTCTTTTGGATTTTCCATATGTAAGATCATATCATCTGCAGAGAGAATTTTTACTTCTTCCTTTCTGATTTAGATGCCTTTTATTTTTTTTCTTGCCTGATTTCTCTGGCTAGGATTTCCAGTACTATGTTGAATAGGAATGATGAGAGTGGGCATCCTTGTCTTGTTCCTGACCTTAAAAGATTTCAGCCTTTAACTGTTGAGTATGATGTTAGCTGTGGGCTTGTCATCTACTGCCTTTATTATGTTGTGGTACATTCCTTCTATACCCAATTTGTTGAGAGTTTTTGTTTTATCATGAAAGGATGTTGTATTTTGTCAAATTCTTTTTCTACATCTATTGAGATGACTCTATGATTTTTATCTTCAGCCTATTGGTTGTGTATCACATTTATTGATTTGTGAATGTTAAACTGTCCTTGCATCCTAGGGATAAATCCCACTTGGTCATAAAAGAATGTATTACATTATATCATATAGGAAGAAGGAAACTTCCTTTCTTTCCAAATCTTGGAATAAAATGGGCTCTTCTAGAAGCTGGTCTTGTTTTTCCTTTGGCTTCTGAAATGCTGTGACTTATCATCCTTCACTTCCAAGGGCTTAGGGACCATAGTCTTGATGATGAGAGCCTAGACCCAGATCACTTCATTTACCTGGTTCAGTGATGCCGCAATGCGGATACAACTGTTCCCACATTAACAATGAGGAAACTGGGCTTTAAAACATTAAGTAATTTTCCCATATTCATATAACCAGAATGTGACAAAGCCAAACTTCAAACCCAGTCTGTATATATATATATTTTTTGTGTGGTATGCGGGCCTCTCACTGTTGTGGCCTCTCCCATTGCGGAGCACAGGCTCTGGACGCGCAGGCCCAGTGGCCATGGCTCACAGGCCTAGCCACTCCGCGGCATCCCACCACTCCATGGGATCTTCCCGGACTGGGGCACGAACCCATGTCCCCTGCATCGGCAGGCGGACTCTCAACCACTGCGCCACCAGGGAAGCCCTGTATAATTTTAACTTACTTATTCTCTAACCTACTTCAATCTGAACCCCAGTTAATTTTTATGTGAAGTGTGATTATTTCTCTCTCTTATTTCAGAAAAGCTTAAAGGCAGTTTGAAGATAAGTACCCTACCTACTTCACAATGTGGTTATGAAAGTTAAAATATTACAACTGTGAATGGATAAGCCTTAAAAGCTATAAAATTCTAGCAAAATCCAAGATATTACAGCTCTCCCAGAACATTCTACTGTGTCAAATCATTCAATTGGCTCAGCTAATACTAAAATAAAAGGACTCAGTGGAACAGAAATAAAGACATTGTGGTCTTTTGGTTTAGTAGAAAACCCTCACCAAGAGTGACACCATTTAATAAATGAGAACAGTTAATGAAGTGCAGTGTGGCAAGTGCTGGGTGGAAGGTGCGAGAACAAAATCCTTCCCTGTTGGATGTAACGTCCCCCCACCGCCACAGCACATGGACCACCAGCACCCACTGCATTTGCAGCTCCTCAGAGGCCACAAAGCCCTGCCCTGTGCATCTCCTCATTTGATCTGGTGTTGCTACTGTTTCCACATCACAGGTACAGAGGGAATGGGACACAGTGAGGTTGAGAGAGCTGCCCACTGTCTCTCACATTACAACTACCGGGCCTGGTGTTCAAATCCGAGAACTGTTCTTTACCATGTGGGGGGCATGACCTCAGAAACTGTGCTGTACTTTGTTACTTTTATGTAGCCCCCCCAATGTGGGATGTGCACCAATGATTTGGGTGGAACATAAGATGATTTTAGGGGCCCTCAGGCTTGGAATGAATTAACACTGAACCGTACGGTCAGAAAGTTACTCCCTTCCCAGTTCTCTTCCAGTCCTTTCATTACATCATGAAGAGAGACTCTGTTCGGTGCTAATGAGTTTTTATAACAACTCCCCACATTTGCCAATCTCAGTTTTTAACCAAGAGAGAAAAGATCTTGGGATTAAAGCCTTTACTAGGATATGGGATCTTGTTAGAATTTAATAACATAGTTTTATCTTCATTATATTGATTTTTGTAATGACTCTATTTTCTGTTTATGGCAAGTGATATGAGTCTTCTGTTTAGGTAGTGAGACAAAGTTTCTTTTTAAACAAAACTAATTAAAACTGAGTTGATTAAAATGTTAAGAAGATACTATTTCAGGTAGGATGGAGATATAACAAAACTTGTGCAAGTGTGTGGGATGATGGTCACTTGAGAAACTTGATGGTCACTTGGGTCTTGCCTTTGAGGTCCCTGCATTCAAGGCCAGTTCACATTTATAGCGTCACAGAGAGCTCAAGATGGCCAGCTGTGAGCCCAGCCGTGGATGAAGCCTGACCACCTCATGATGCTGAGTCAATAGGTCCTTTATCACTCTGGGGAGTCTCTGGGTTCCTAAACAGAAGAACCTGGGCCAGCCTAAAGGTCACACAGGGACAGTTCAGAGAGAACAGAATAGAGAGAACTGGTCAGGAGGGCCAGAGACATGCTGAGTGGGGACAAAGGTAACAAGAGAAAATAGCAGTAAACGTTCTTACTCTAGTGAAGATGTGAGGACCCCTTTGGAAACATGATGAAAACCATGAAGGCTGTTACCTAGGAAATTGCACATGTGTGTTTCCACTCACGTTCGTGTACACATACATAACAATATTAGGGGGTCTGTGGGCTTCAGGTTTTGAACTCCAGCTTTGATATTACTATCTAGAAATTCTCTTATTGACCAACTCACGCCTAAGGGTAAGTATAAAGAGGTTTATCTAAACAAAGATTCCTAGTTTTGTAATTTTTTTGGCATGTTACTCCCATCCATCTATCCATCCATCCTAAATGCATTGCACTTTTCTCTCCTTACACTGGTTCTCAAGTGTTTCCACCAGGGAACCCCCAACCTAGAGGAGAACAAACTCATCCTCTGAGACTCTGAGAAGACTTAGAAAGCTCATCATAAGATCACAAATGTTTTTCATGTTTAGCTTAAATGTTTACGCCAATTTCGGGACCTACTTAAATAGATGTGTTTTGACATAACATTTCTCTGCAAAAATCATTTAGTAAAACTGACCCTCCAGGAAGATGAGGCTTGCTTATACTGATGCTCCTTGGCCTCTTGGTACACCTGCGAGATCTCTAGGGACCCAGGTTAGAAAGCAAGGCCTTGCTTCGTGCCAGTCCCTGTACCAGGAATGTGGAGATCAAGAAATCCCCTACGGGCAGGGACCCAGATGCTCTCCCCATCCCCACAGTGCCTCGTGCAGGGCAGAGCCCCCAGGGAGCTCAGTTTATGATCAGAAGTTCCTAACAAGGGTTTTGCAGTAGCTCCAGGCTGCTGCCCTGTAAGAGTGATACAAGGTAATGGTTGAGGATCTCTGACTTTGGAGCTTCACAGCCCTAAGTTCAAAGCCCAGCGCTGCTGCTTATCGCACTTTGGTTCTAGGGCACTCCTGGTACCGTAAAGAAAATATCTGGGTTTGCCAGCTGGAAGAAAAAGCAACTCAGCCTGGAGAGGGAGCTGTTGGGGGTGTTCCGAGGCTGGGTAGAGTATGGGTGGAGAGCCCAGACTTCAGCAGAGACCTGGGCGCTTCTCCTAGCTGCGTCCCATCAGCCCTGAGCATTCAGACAAGGAGCAATCCCCGCGTGCCTCTGTTTCCTTGTGTCAAACACAAGGGGGTTGAATGGGATGGTCCCTAAGGGTCCTCCCAGCCTGATGCTTTCTGCTCAACAGCTCAGTTTCATTGGGCAGAGCTTTTCTGCTTTGTCTTCTTTATGGCGCCCATCTTTCTTCCTCATTTCTGAAAGTGCCTTTTGGACACCATTCTTATCTTATAAAAAGTGCAGCTATCTCTTATGAACTCTGCTCTCATCCCCCCAAATCTTCTCTCCTGCGCAGACGTAGAAGATCAACAGCTCTTGTTCCTAGCATGGACCGCTTTAACAACATGGGAGGTTATGTAATTAGACTTGTTACGATACCACAAGGCAGAACTGAAACGGATTAGACAAGAGAAGCCAAGTTTCATTATCTGGTCTAGAATGTTTCTCCAGCCAAGAATCCAAGATGATGTCCGCATTCCTAGAAGTGAACTTCCTGTTTCCTTTTTCTCTGAGCGCAGTACGTGCCTGTTTAATTAGGCAGCCTCCCCGCAATGCCCTTAATGAGCACTCATGTAATCTTCGTTAATAAAAGGAAGATTTATTAAACTTTCGATTCTAATAAATAGTCAGCCATTATCTTTGCAATGGGCCCCAAACCCTGGTAAAAATGAAGCAGGCTCTGGGACCATTCAAAGGGTCCATTCAACAGAGCTTAACGTGTTAAGAATAGAGCTTAACGTGTTAAGAACAGAGCTTAACGTGTTAAGAATAGAGCTTAACACGTTAAGCTCTATTCTTTAGTGACGAGAGTGAGTCTTCCCACCACCATGCCTCAGTTTAAAGGCCTGAAGCTGAATTTCCTCTTCTTACCACACTGAGGTCCCACAGACACCTTAGTCAAGCGTTAAGAGCTTAAAAACAAAAGAAAAGAAAAACAAAAATTGAGAAGCAGGTATAAAGAGGAACAGAGGCTTTCCCTAGCCATGGCCCCATGGATGAATCTGCCCAGAAGGAAGCCCAGCAAAAAGAAAGCCCAGTCACATTCTCAAACGGTTCCCACCCTCCCTTTGTTGACGGGACTAAGAGAGGCAGTGAATTCAGCTGTTCAGAGTTCCAGGGGAAAGTCAGGATCTTCAGGATTTTTACTTCCAAATGAAGGATAGAGCAGCAGGAGATCAAGGCTGAAGGAAGCCCTCCCTCTCTTAGGCAGTTAAAGCCCTGGAGCAAGGTGGGTAAAGAAGACAATATGATGTCTTAGACTGCTTTTGTGGCTCATTTTTAAAAGACTGAATTCAGACTTAAAGAATAAAGATAAGGAGAAAGGCATCGAGGCTGCAGGTTCCCGCAGCCCTGGGAAGTGGCTGTTTGCTGGAGACAAGAAGATGAGATTTCTCAAGCTGGGCTCCAGGCTAGAAGGAACAGAATGAACCCAGCCAGGGCACAGAGCTGAGCTGGTTGACAGTACCCTCGTTGTCCATTCTCTCCTTGCCCCTACCTGTCCCCACTGGTCTCTGCCAGCCTGTTGTTCATTACTGCAAAGGCTCCTATCCCCCCTGAGAATTCATCGTCCAACGACAGAGTGCTGGTCTGGTGGGGGCAGCCATTGGCCGTTTCGGACAGCTGCTTCTGGAGGATGGCTAGTGAGACCTTGTTGGCCGCCAAGAAGTCCTTCATGGAGATCATCTCACCCGAGAGACGCCGCCCATCCATGTCACTCTCTATGACTCCATCCGTTTCTATGGAGATGTCGCACCGGTTCTGGACAGTGCCTGGCATCACCACGTTCCTCCGGGACTGCAAGAGTCTTCTCTGGCATTGTTGGTAGCACCCACCATCCATCTTCCTCAGGATCCAGTTCACGGACTGTTTAATGAGGATGGAGATGATATTGAACAAGGAATAGATGCAGCAGACGCCCATGAGGATGAAGACGAAGTTGGCGAAGCGGTAGAGGCCCTGGCTAGCATACTGGGCATTCTGGCTGCTGACAAGGTCCCCAAAGCCGATGGTGCTGAAAGCCACAAAGCAGAAGTAGAGCGCGTCGAAGTAGCTCCAGCCTTCCACGGAGGTGTACATGGCGGACGCGCAGCAGGAGATGAGGAGGGAGGCCATGCACAGGATCAGCATGACGTAGTACACGGAGGGCTTCCAGCCAGCCGAGCTGTCCGCCTCACCCTTCCCCGGGTTCTTCAGGCTCTGCTGGGGCAAGGCCCCCCGCCTCTGGAGCTGCCGCTGGTGGCACGATTTCATGATGCAGGCAATGACGGTGATCAGGCGCTCCAGGAAGAGGTTGAAGAACAAGATGGTGCTGGAGCACCCGAGGAGGCCATAAAAGATCAGAAAGAGTTTTCCTTCTACTGTTGCCGGAGTCGTCATCCCAAACCCTGCAGGAGACAAAAATCAGAGGAGAGTGAGGGAGATCTCGGCCGTGAACGGGGTCAGTCTTGGCTTTGATGGCTGGCAAAGGACCTGAATAAACAGTTTCGTAAAAGCACTCTGTCCTAGCCTTTCTAGGAAGGAGAGGGAGAATTCTGACTTGCTTTTGAAGACACTAAGTGTTGTTCAGAGCTGGGCTGCTCAAAGTCCATATGGTGCCACAGTGCAAATCAGAACAAGGTACCTCTTCCTCTGAGTGGATACCACCAGTGACAGTGGCTTGGGGATGAGAATGTGGGCTGGGTTTCAGCCTCCCCTCCCGATTCTGCTGTAGATGTCCTCATACAGTAGATGACCTGAACGACCATACTTAACAGACATTGTTCAGAGAGATAAACAAAGGCTCATACAAAGAAAAGTCTTACAGAATTCATTTATTCTATAAACACTTATTGGCTGCCATTCCAGGAATGGGGGATAGAACTGTGGAGAAAGATAGATCTGGTCTCTGCCTTCATGGAGCTCCAATGTAGTGAAGTGATTACTATGTTTTGTGATCAGTGTTGTGATAAGCATGGTGCTGGAGAATGTTCAGGGTCTTATGGGAGCTATTAAGAGGGAAACCCATCTCAGACTTGGAGTCTAGGAAGACTGAACAGGGAGAACCTAAAGCTAAAGCGGAGTTAGGCAAGGCAAGGAGGGTGCATGTGTGTGTGTGTGTGTGTGTGTGCCTGGTGGTGGTGGTGTTTCAGGCAGAGAAACAGCACATGTCAGCATATACGGAAATGAACAATTTGCTCAAGGTTTTCCCATCTTTAAACAAAACTCTCATGCTTTGGGAGTGGTAACTGACGTGTTAGTTATAGTTTGATAACATATAAAAAGTCTCTCTTGCCTTTGTCTCTTACTGTTCACAGTTTTGACTTTCTTGACCTTTCTACCCCTACACACAGATATGATAGTAAGGATACCAAGGATACCAACTGTAGGACAGTGGACATCACTAAGAAAAAGGAGAAACGGAAGAAAAATACACTCAGTATTTCTCACTCCGGGGCACTAATCTTCAGCCCGCCATGAGGGACACGAAATTCTTCCAAGCAAATGATTCAGTAAACATGAGGAGTCTGATTTGTTTGAGGGGATGGGCATCAAAGTCCTTCTGATAATAAACACCATCTGAAAAATAAGTACTCATCACGCCACCCTGGGTTCAGATTTTTTTTTCAAGTCAAACCTCCTTCTTTGTATTTTTTCTTTCTTATCAAGCTCAGTTTCCTAACCGAGGCCGCATCATTGGGATCTCTAGGATTCACCCATTATCCTCTTTCCTGATAACACCCTGCTATCATCAAGCCAACACTTTTCTTTGCTGCCACAGCTCAGCCCGTGGCTGCCTCCCAGTGCATCCTGGGACGTGGTCAGATCAGACCTCGCGATTTGTGAGCTTCTGGGATTATGACTTCCTGCTTCCTCATGGGGAGCCAATGGGCCACCTTTCCCAAACACCTAGGTGTGCATACTGTGTTGCCATTTAGTTTTCCAAGTAAATTCAATTTTCCTTTCTCAGCATACAAGGGTCTATCTAGGGTAGGAAATTAACAATATATAGCCAAGAGCCTGCAGGAAGATATTGATTGCTTTTTAGCTGGTTGGCATGGAGTGGAATGGGTGATCAGGTAAGGAAGGAGCGAGGGGCAGGGAATAATTCCACTGGGAGTTACAGTCCTGGCCCTTTAATGGTAGAAAGTCAGACCATCATCTCTTCTCTGGGAACTCTTGTTTTGAAAATTAAAGGCCTTTAGTGACTCTTGACAGTGTAGGTTTCATTTGTTAGATATCTTCATTATGATGTAAGGAAATTCTCTCTTTGCTGTCTTTTCTCTTGTTAGTAACTTTAATTCTTATCCCCAAGCTTGAGTTGCAATGAGGCGGTTGAAGTAGTGGAGAATTAAGAAAAAACTTACTGAGTTTAAGGACTGAGCTGAGAGCAGTGTCTTTTTCTACCCAGTCTGAAGAACATGGAGGAGCGACCAAGGTGTGGAGTGATTAGTTCCTGATCACTTAGGGCTGCGGGGGGGACCTCCTCTGGCTCAGTGAATTTCTGAAACCAGTAAGCTTGTGAATGCTTCTGCACTAAGAAGAGATAAAAATGAAAGCTGGAGCCCTTGCCCCAAAGCTGTAAGGCTAGCAGAGTATTGCGGCTGTCTTCATTGAAACAGAACTGAGGCAACACGCAGGAAAAAGAAGAAACGTTTATCTGCAGCCATTTATTGACCCAACAACATTCCAAAAAAAGGATAAAGTTATTGAAAATAGGGAAGGCCCAATATACCCTGAGAAAACCATAATTCAAAAAGACACATGCACCCCAATGTTCACTGCAGCACTATTTACAGTAGTCAGGACATGGAAGCAACCTAAATGTCCATCAGCAGAGGAATGGATAAAGAAGATGTGGTACATATATACAATGGAATATTACTCAGCCATAAAAAGGAACGAAATTGGGTCATTTGTAGAGACGTGGATGGACCTGGAGTCTGTCATACAGAGTGAAGTAAGTCAGAAAGAGAAAAACAAATACTGTATATTAACGCATATATGTGGAATCTAGAAAAATGGTACATATGAACCTATTTGCAGGACAGGAATAGAGACACAGAGAATGAACATGTGAGCATGGTGGGGAAGAGGGGATGGGATGAATTCGGAGACTGAGATTGACATATATACACTACCATGAGTGAAACAGACAGCTAGTGGGAACCTGTCATATAGCACAGGGAGCTCAGCTGGGTGCTCTGCAGTGACCTAGTTGGGTGGGATGGGGGGTGGGGTGGGAGGGAGGTCCAAGAGGGAGGGGATATATGTATACATACAGCTGATTCACTTTGTTGTGCAGTGGAAACTAACACAACATTGTAAAGCAACTATATCCCAATAAAAAACAACAGTAACAACAAAAAACAATTCAACAGGGCAACTCATTTTTTGAGCTGTATTTGTTAAATTAAAAAATATATTAAAAATAAGGGAAGGTCCAGAGGTAACAACAGGTGTATATGTGGAGGAGTGAGGGGAGGCATTTGCCAACAATCAGAGAGCTTTCTTGTGTAACGCAAGACGCAAGTGGGCAAATGTTTTCTTTTACAAAATCTTCCTCCGATCCCAGAAGGAACTTAATGATTTTCCTCTTCGAGAGCAGAGAAGCAGGAGTGATGAGTAGCTCTCAGTCAAAGGTAAGAACAATTATTTATTGAGCATCTGTTAAGGTCAGGGGCAGCACTAGGTGTCTGGGCCACATGATGATGGCCTGGACAAGGTCCTTGGCCTCCAGGAGCCCATCATCCAGGCTGCGACAGACAAACTGAACAAGGCAGAGTGAGTCAAGGGCCAAAGTAAAGTCACGGTGGTGCTATCCTGGCTTCAGGGTCCCAAATGCAGCCTCACTTGGGATGAATGCCTGGGATCCATGTAGACGTGTTGCTGAAGCCAGCTGACAAGCTTGATAAGCTGGTTTTTTTCCAATGACTGAGACTTCTAGTGATTTTGCAACACGTTCCAGGGATTTAAAATCTCTATATTCTATCTTGTTTGGTTGGTTTTAAAACATTCAATTTTATGAAAGAAAGGATAACCTGTGACTTTTTTTAACATCTTTATTGGGGTATAATTGCTTTACAATGGTGTGTTAGTTTCTGCTTTATAACAAAGTGAATCAGTTATACATATACATATGTTCCCATATCTCTTCCCTCTTGCGACTCCCTCCCTCCCACCCTCCCTAAACCCGTGACTTTCGATTACCTGCACTATTTGCTTGATCACTACCATCTTTTCAATCAGCAAAAATGACAGAAGATGGCACAAGCGGTGTTATTCATAGAAGCAACGGGAGACAGCTTCCTAATATTTGCAGTTAGAGGTGTTGCCATGGCTTTTACTACTCTCAGAGCTTAACAGTTTGTCAGCTAATAATGCAGGCTTTTTCATAGAAAGTCTCCCACTTTTTTGAGTCCCATAATACTGAGCATTACGGATCCCTTGGATTGGGAATAATAAGCCTCAGGGTCCTCCTTAGTGGAGGAAAAGGACACAGGTATTATCAAAGGTCTGCCCTCTGCCAGGTATCACTGACTCCTAATACCCAGGCCCGCTCCCGGGTGTACAGGTGTAAAGTAAAGCCAGAGTTAGAACCTAGATTTATCTTGTCTCCCAGGCTTGTGATCTTTCCACCTGCCTACGCTAAGTGAGTGAAACCACTGTCAGGTGTACACACTGTAAGCAGAACTGAGAGAGGGAAATTAACCAAGCGTCTAACGCTTTACATAGACACCCAGACTGCAGTAGCTGCCAGATCTGGTACCAAAATCAGGGGATCGGCTGAATCAGAAGCTGAAACCCTACAGTCTTCACTTACATTTCTGAACGTACGTGTGCCTCTCCCAATGACGGATGCCATTATATCGGTTTAAAAAACTTGTTACACCCCATGCATTCGGTCTCTTTGTATTTCATAGGCACACAAATGAATCTGATTGTCACAGGTGGTGCTTTCCAATATACAGTTTCTTTCCTGTGCTTCAAGCCTGCAGTCTTCTGATTTGTGTCCAGCTCCTGAGTCTGGGAGCAGATGAGGTAGCTGATTGGGGATCAAGGGCACCTAGGTTTGGTTTGGAGGCCAAGGGAGCTCGCCTGGCAGTCTACTTCGGCTGAGCTCCCTTGGCCATTTCAGATCTGTTTTAATGTGCTCCTGAGACCAAACCGGGCTCCCTGGTGTCCTTGGGGCCAGGAATGAAGCAATTAGGCACTGCCAGCGTCCCAGTCAACCCCAAAAGAGCCCTTCACTTAGACCATGAAGAGAGGAGAATAGGTCTGCCGTCTCCCACCCTTTTATGCGTATAGTGTCAACTACATATTCTTTCAAAATTAGTCAAGATGAAAAATCAAAAAGCTTTGCATTATATTTTTCAAATATACACAGAGGTAGAGAGACTGC